AAATTGGAAAAGAGCAAACATAGTGCCCATCTATAAAAAAGGAAATATGGACAATCCAAGAAACTACAGACTAGTCAGCTTAACCTCTGTTTCAGGAAAGATAATGGAGCAAATAATTAAGGAATTCATCTGCAAATATCTGGAAGAAAATAAGATGATAGGTAACAGCCAGCATAGATTTGTAAAGAACAAATCATGTCAAACCAATATGATAGCTTTCTTTGATAAAGATAGCAATCCTTGTGAATGAGGGGGGAAGTGGTAGACATGGTATGCCTAGACTTTAGTAAAGCATTTGATTTGGTTGCAACTGCTTTGGAGACTCAGGTAATAAATCAGAGTGATCTGGAGAAATGATCTTAGCAAAATAAGATCTAGGGATCATAGTGGACCACTGTCATGGCTCCTTCCCCACTCTGGCATAATAAATGCAGAAGTGGGGGTCAGCAAGTGTACCCCAAAGCCTTATCTACCAGACTTTGGTATAAAACTTCCCCCAAAATCTTAAAAACCTAGATCTTGGGAATAAAACTTCCGCTGCCACCACCCAAATGTTGATAAAGAAATCAGGGGAAAGATCATTTGGGAAATCTCCCCCCTAAAATAAAAATCAAGGCACACAATTAACCACTGCCAGGTTAATAAAAAGAAAAGAAAGAACTTTTATTATTACTACAATATTCCTGTTGCAAGCATAATGACTAGATAGGAAGGTAACAAAATATACTCATGGAGAAACTCCATGGGCCTAGAACTTAGTTACAAAGAAAAGCCAAAACATCTTTTAAACAGTGCCAGATCTCAGATCCCATACCCCATCCTTAAAACAATAAAACCTAACGAAACTACCTAAACTTTACCCTACTTACAGAAAATGAAGAATGGTGTCTTGGAGAGAGAGAAACATGCTTGTCCCTCTCTGTAGCCGCAGAGAACTCCTGCAGAGAGACAAAAGGAGAAAGGAAAAAACCCAAATTCCTTGGTCCCAGGTTGAAAGTCCCACCTACATTCCTACTGGTCACTCCACCTGGCTAGGTGTAGTTAACCCCTTAATCCCCAGGCTGCTGGCTAACCCTCATAATCATGACAACCACAAGATAAATATTCTACAACAGTGTGACACTTTGGCAAAAAACCAACCAAACAAAAACCAACCAAACAAAAAAACCCACAGATGTGATTCTGGGATGCATTAACAGGAATGTGAGCAAGACACAAGAAGTAACTCTTCTGCTCTACTCTACATTAATTAGGCTTCAGTTAGAGTATTGTGTGCAGTTCTAAGCAACACATTTCAAGAAAGATATGGAGAAATTGGAGTAGATCCAGAGAAGAGCAACAAAAATTATTAAAGGTCTAGAAAACATGAGAATTGGTTTGCTTAGTTTGGAAAAGAGAAGACTGAAAGGGGACGTAATAGCAGTTTTCAAGTACTTAAATGGGTGTTACAAGGAGTGGGGAGAAAATCCTTGATCTCTGATGATAGGACAAGAAGCAATGGGCTTAAATTGCAGAAAGGGAGGTTTAGGCTGGACATTATGAAAAGCTTCATAATTGTCAGGGTGGTTAAACAAGTCTGGACATTATGAAAACTTCCTAATTGTCAGGGTGGTTAAACACTGGAATAAATTGCTTAGGGAGGTTGTGGAATTTCCATCATAGGAGATATTTAAGAGCAGATTAGATAGATACCTATCTAGATGGTGTGTGGTCCTGCCATGAGGGGCAGGAGACTGGACTTGATGTCCTCTCAAGGTCCCTTCCAGTTCTAGTATTCTATGATTGCTCTGTAGCTGCCTACTCTTCATCCTCACCAACAGCTACCAGCCCAGAACCCTCCTCCTTAGCACTGTTGTCTTCAGGCTAGGAATTGGTTGAAGTTGTGGCTCGTGCTATCAGCTCGCCCTCCAAAGAGAGAATGTGAAGGAATGGTCAGGTGGCACAACACAGAATCCATAGAGCGTAGCACCATACTGCCCCAAGGAAGGGAAGAGGAATGGATGCTAAGCCCATTGAAGATTCCAGTGGTACTCAGAGGGTATCATAGCATGCTGGGAGCATTCACACAGGTGTTACAGGTTTAAGTTAGCGCCTTTGGATCAGAAGGGTCCAGACTTTATACAATCTAGGGAAGCCTAGGAAAAAGACAGTTGCTTTTCAATAGAAACATTACATGACACAGTTGTTAAAAGCATGGTAGATAGCCATCTTGTTTGTAAGCACAATAATGTGTTGCATATACCAACATCCTGTTTCAGTTACGTAGCCCTTTGTAAGGCATGGGCTTTTAAGGAAGCTGAGCTTGAGATTTCTTCTAAGCAATACAGTCTGATGTTAGGATTTCCAGTTTATCTAACCAGCTCATTTGTTCTATGGTGAGTCTGAGTTTGTGTGATGGAGAGAGAAGAGTCTCTCTGTTTTTGACATGTAAAAGTGCTCCTCTGGGTACTGAGATACTTGTGCCTAACCTTCCTCACAAGGGAACTGATGATAAAAATCATCAGACAAATATGTACACTGCCTAACCTTCCTCACAAGGGAACTGATGACAAAAATCATCAGACAAATATGGCATAGACCTTTGAGAAATTGCTGCATCACTATCTAATAGGAAGGCTTCTCAAAGTATAATAGACTCAACATCCTTTTTGGCTTAAGGGATGTGAGATGTTTATTCTCCTCCATCCTTGCCACATAGTTTCATACACCAGTACAGGAATAAAAAAGTCTGCCAGACATGAACCATATTGTAATACAATTAATTGCACTGAGCAGTATCTTAGTCCAGAAGATGTATCATGGATCACGGAGCCATTCATGTATGAATAAGAGTATCCTAAATTGCATTGCTTTTAATCAATGTTATACAGGCAGTCCCCGAGTTACGCGGATCCGACTTATGTTGGATCCGCACTTACGAATGGGGCTTTCTCGCCCCGGAGCTCGCAGGCAGCGGGACCGCCCAGAGCGCAGCGATCCTGCCCCCTCGACCTCCGGGGCGAGAAAAGCTGCTCGGAGTACCCCTGGTCTGCTGGGGACCGTCTCCAGAAGACCAGGGACACCTGGAGCAAAGCCGGGGAGGCGCGGCACCCCGCCGCCACTGCGGCTTTGCTCCCCGTGTCCCTGGTCTGCTGGGGGGGCGGGGGCGCAGCTAGTGCGCCCCCTCCTCCCCCAGCAGACCAGGCTTTTTTTGTGGACCCTGGGGTAGAGCAGCTGGGGTGCTGCTGGGTTGGTCCTGCAGGGACCTACCTGGCAGCCCAGCTGTTCTGTCCCAGGCTCGAGATTCAGCTGCTGTTGAAACTGATCAGTGGCTGATTCCAGGAAGCTGGGGGCAGAGCAATTCTGCCTCCAGCTTCCTGTAGTCAGCCCCTGGTCAGTTTCAGCAGCAGTGGCTGAATCTGGAGCCAGTTCCGACTTACATACAAATTCAACTTAAGAACAAACCTATAGTCCCTATCTTGTACGTAACCCGGGGACTGCCTGTAGTACTTTAGAATAAAAAAGAAAAAAGTGTGTGGAAAGGAAACTCTTATAACATCTCTAAGGAAATGCCCACTCATGCCATTGTATATGTGGGCTGTCAATACAGTAGACTTCTGATAATCCGGCACCCTTGGGACCCAGGTGGTGCCGGATTATCAGAAATGCCGGACTATCAGGAGGTACTCTGGCAGGGGCAGG